CTGCTCTTCGAGGCGTACGCGGGCCCCGGAGCTGAGCGAGCGGCGCAGCCCCCAGCACGGCTAAAAAACGAACTCTCGTGGGGCTGCTGCATCACGCGGGGGAGCTGCCCGTTCTCGTGCTGTACAGCTTGGCAGCCGGGGCAGTTTTTAGAGCAAAAGAAGCACCTGCAGAACCGCCCCGAAGTACGAGAAACGGACAGCCATCGGCTCTTCCTCTACCACGTGCGGTAGCTCACAGTACAAAGTAAACAGGGTGGCAGGCGGTGGGTGCAGCAGTGTGAAAGGCTTCACAGCCGTTCTCGCAGTGTGCATGAACTCCAGTACTAGACTCTGTAGGCAACCGATTCAAATCTTGGAGTCCTTGAGGCTAACTAGTGTTCTAATAAAGTTCTCAAAAGACTTGGTTTGCTTTTGCTTCTGTTCTTCACAGATCCCATGGGGGGCATGTAAAACCACAAACCAACTTTAAAGTTTGCACCTGGGCACCCAGCAGACCGTTTCTGCTATTGCTAGTCACTTTAAGGGAACCGGAGCATCTTAAAATGTGTGCTGCAGCTGAGCTTAGCCCTGCTCCCCTAAACTCTTGCTGGGTGTGTTGGAGCACCTGAACCCGTGCTGGTAATGGAAGGATCTAGGCAGGTTCAAGAACGAGCTGAGCTCTTTGAATGATTAAACAGCGCAGGTGTGTACGTTAGACAATCAAAATACCATTGTAGCCACAAAGATTGTTAAAAAAATTTATTAACGGGAATGAAACAAAAGCTGTAAACAAGAGCCAGCAGAAATGAGAAGTTGCGTGTAATGCCGAGTCCTCTGGCTTGTTTGAATGCACTGAACAATTAATTCTTCATCGCTTGGTGGCAGTAAAGGCCCACGAAAGAAGACGCCAAATACCAGTCTGAGGAAGAGCTTTAGGGCGAGGTCAGCGTGCAGGCACCGGGAGACCCGTGTACGGAGGGAACTTGGACTGGGAGAGATGGGGGCTGAGTCTGGCCTAAGGTTTAGGTCTAATACCCCAAATGCAGTTGTGATGTCTCTGCTGCAGTAGAGTTGGCTCCCAACAGGCATGTTTAAAGTACTCCACAGGGTAGCATTTACATCTTATTTCAGTTTTTAAATTGGTTTTGGTCCCACACTGAAGAAGTAAGTTAAGAGTTGGAAGCTTTTTCTTCGAGACGGCAAGGTGCAAGGCTCCCCTGCCCTGCGAGGAAGGGAGAAAGCGGCAACCTGATGGGAGCGTTAAGAACACTGCTGGTTATTTTTGCATTCAGGGAGAGTCCCTGTAGCTTCTGGGGTAGCGCGTCTGGGCAGCGACTGGCAGCTCAGGACCGGGGCTGCCGCTGCACTGCTAAGGCCAGGCTGAGAAAACGCAGTGCTGAAGGCAGGCTTGGGCACGGATCAGGTATTGGGGCTGTTTGAGCTGCTCTGTGCCTCTCTGCCGGGCTGGCCCTTCCCCGCACGGCTGGGGTGCAAAAACACTGCTACCTGAGCAGGCTCGGGACTAGGGAAAATCCCGCTCCCTTTTCCTCTCGACCTCAGCCAGCAAGTGTGTGCCACACACAATGGAGGCGGCTGTAAGATAAGCAGCTTCACGTGGGAGACACTAGTCAAGTAGCAGCCACAGGAACACAGCGAAGCTCACCAAAGCAGCGTGAAACAGCGAGGTTTACAGATTCCTGCGCGCTTCTTGGCGGTGCCCGAGTAACTTGCAGAGCTTTCCCTGTGTTCGGTTGCTACTTGCAAACAAATCCTAAGGCATTACCACCTTTTAGAGCGGGCAAAGGCAACGAGAGTTCTTCCAGTTATTTCAGAGAAGGTCTCGGCTGAGGAATGGATGGCTGCTGCTCCGGTGGGAGCAGCTGGCCGGCCCCTTGGATCTGTGGGGAGCGCTGCTGCTGAGGTGGGACGCGGGGGTTGGGGGGGGGACGGGACACCCTGACTGCCATTCCCCCACAGCCCCTGCTTGCTGCCGCCAGCGGAGCTCGCCTGCCTGCTCCTGGGGTGCTGGCACTGGCAGCAGGGGGGTCTGCTCCAGGCTGTGCGCTGCAGGAACGGTCTTTCAATAAATAATTTAAACAAAATTTAAGTCAGACAGCTGAAAGGCTTATTTCTCCCTAAAAAGCTATTTAGGAAAAAATGCTCTGTTTGCAGGAGGTTTATTTTAGGATCCTTTTCCGTACTGTTACTGTGCAGGACCCACTTCAAGCAGCAGCTGCTCATTTTACTGTAGGTCACTGAGGAGTGTGGCCCTGAGGAGTCCCTGCCCACCTGAATCACACGCGGTAGCTGCAGAGGGTCTTTGCGCACGTCAGGAATGCAGGGCTGGAGCAAAACAAGGGGCAGGGGCGTCTGAACCAGCGGCCGAGAGCTGGTGCTTGGCTGGAGGGCGAAGGACGGGCTGTTCTATTTTAAGTAAGTGGCCCATCTAGAGCGGTGCGGGGAGGTTCGGTGCGGTGGGCACCTGGTGTCCTGCGTGTGGAATTTTCAAAGAAGAAAATTGCCAAAGGCCAAACACTTCATCCAAATCCAAATCTGTACTTAGAAGTGCAGCTTTAAAGAGAAAAAAAAAAAAAAAAAGCCAAATGCCTGACACAGACCACGAGGGGCGAGGAGTCCGTTGAAGAGAGCTGGCAGGAGTCTGAAACCTGTGAAATCAATGCCTACAGCGTTCCCCCCAGCTTTCTTCAGTTAACAGAAAGAGCTGTCCCGAGAGAACTTTGAAGATATCAAAGCATCGTTGCAGTCTAAAACCGCTGTCACACTTAGATGAAGGTATTTAGAATAAGCTGCAATACATTAGATTTCCTCTCAATTAAAGTACTAGGAACGGCAGTAGTAAGAGAACCAAAGCCTTTACCGAACAGATAAACATTCAGGAAATCTCTGTACAACAGACAGGTTAGCAGGAGCTTACTCAAACAGACGGCTAAGCTCTTGTCTTCTGCAGGGAAGAGGAGAAACCTTCGTCGAGGAGGTGTGTTACACCACATGAAAGATGGACAGACGTAAGTAAGCAACTGCAAAAATGGTTGCCTCAAAAACAAGTCCTTCCTGCGTGCCCCAGGCCAGGGATCTGAACAGCTGAACTCCAGGTACGCGGGGAAAGAAAAGGGAATTCAGGACTTTTTCCTCGCCAGATGTTTGGTGTGGCGAAGGCGTTCCTTCCCCTTAGTCACACCGTAATTCCTACTAACGTTAAAGGAGCCTCATAACGCTCCTGGCTGCTGCTGAACGGGTGGAGACAGACGGGACTACCCACTGCCCCGGCCCTGGACGGAGCGACGGCGATGGTGAGACCCCAGCCCGCACCAGTCCCTTCCTGAACGCCCGCCTCCCACCTGCATGGGGACGAGCGGCTGCGAGCCAGGCGGGAGCGACC